TGTACCATCCTTCATAAAAGTCTCAAAGCCTGTCTTCTTGGATGTTTGTCAAGTGCATGCATGGTGCTATGTAACCAAGAATCAGTAATCTTCTGCTAGAGCTACAAAAACTTCAAAAAGACAGTGCTGTCATGTTTAGCCTTGCATTGACTATTTAGCTCCTCAAAACCTTAAAAAGCAATACGAATTGATTGAATTGGAATCGCCAAAAGCAATTCTATTCCATCCTGGAAGGAGGGAAATCAAGCAGGTTAAAAGGGACATGGCTGCCTGGATCTGAAATGCAAAAAATGCCATATGGTCGGGTAACACCAAACCCGGGAGAGGAAACTTTACACTGCATAAAATCAGTCTTCCACTGATGTACAGGTCAACTCCACATCATGATCACACAACGACTAACACATGCAGTGAAAGATTAACAGGACACTGGTAGCTGGATGGTAAAGCTTTTGGTTCAGACTGTAAGATATCTCTATTATGTTGACATCAGAAATGTCGAATAATCCTGCCTGCAAGGCTTTGCTATCTTTGGCTGCATTTGCTGGCAATGACAAGCTCAAATCCAGGAATTAGAAGGAAAAAGAAAAGGAAGGACTCCTGTATAAATATACTAAATAGTTCCAGGGCATGCAGATAATTTTTCAACTGCAAATACAGCAAGATATGTAACCTAAAAAGTGAAAAAGGAAGATCTTCTCACTATAAATATGAGAAAATACAAACTGTTTTTCCCTCTCAGAGTTGAATGTTTTTTCCCATTCTGTGCTAGGCTATGCAGAGAAGAGGTGCTGATGTTGTCTTTTCCTGGAAGAAAACAAGACTAACCCCCCAGAATCCCTCTGATGGACTTCCTGGTAAGGGCCTACCTGCCTCACTCATACCAAGGACACGTCCCAGGAACGCTGTGCAACTTTCTGGCCCCAGCTCATGTGTAAAAGATTCAACTTCCATCTTCAATATGACACGCAATATTTACTGATTAGACATTAATACACTGCTTCTGATTTGGACCTGCTGACAAGTGAGAGTTGGTGTCAGCTGGCATGCCCTTCCTACAGCGTAATGCTGCTCTCATTCAAAGCAGTCTTCCTGTTGTGCCATATGACTGCTAAATGGGATTCCTCCTCAAAGAGATTCCCTTTGTGGACAAAATTACAAAGGTACACAGCACCTGTACCTTGCAGTGATTTCCAAAGCAGCGTTGGACCTGAGGCTTATGGAACTTCTTCTTTAAAACAAATCAAAGGAAATAAGTGATAAAAATAAGTAAATAATTCTCAGTACCTTGTGGATCTTATAATTAGTTTAACCAGTGAATTTCTGTTTCCCTAGAGATGCATCATCATACAGATTTAATGAAATCTTCTTTTTTCCTTTATCCCTAGCTGGTTTAAATACTATAAATTATGGATGAGCTTCTGTTTATATGTGTAATCTTTTAGCTGTAAAATAAAAGACTGCTAATGCAACACTTAAAGCACACCAGGAAGCCTGCATTCCATCAATGTTTAAACGGAATAAAATGGGCCAACTGGCCATTTGCTCTCAGTGGCAGTGACATATAGGGTAGAAATGAATTGAGAGAGGACAGAATCATCTGTTCTTTGCTTTAAGCTCCTCCTTTCCCAGTATCATCATACCTCCTTCGTATAACATTAAAAAGAAACAGATGGTGCCATCCATCGTTTTTTATGAGATGAGGAAACAAAATATTCAGCCTGGTATCAGCATTTTAGCATGGGCAAGGGATCTTGAGCACACGTAAAAAACACAGAAAGACAATATCTATGGCTAAGGCCATACCATACACTGCAGTTAAGCAATCAATAATATATTTCAGGAAAACATATATTTTTGTTTTGTTAATATGGAGATCAACAGATCTGCTCCAATCAAGCAGGTCTCATGCATTGCTCTCATGGCTCTGTGCTGCCCCCACTTTCGACAGCTCAAGCTCCTTGCAGACAGCAATCTCCTTTTATACTACAAAGAGATAGTTTAACTTGTTTAGTAATCACTTCCAAGAGATCCTGGATGAACCAGGAGGTCATGGAGGGCATCTAGAGCCCACCTGAATTTTCTGGCCGATATGATTGAGCTGCATATAACTAGCTGTGATTAGAAGAAAAATCATTTGCCAAGAATATCTTAGCTTAGTAAAGCTCCTCCTTCCTCTCACTGTAAACAGTGACATTGGTAATAAAATGCAATGCAGTAATAAAAAGAGGTTTCTCATAGTTTGCGTTATAGCATTCGCAGTTACTAGCATTATCATGCTTGCTAAACCTGATGTATTACCTTTACACAGAAGAGATACTATTTGCTGTAAGATGGATATCCAGTTTTACATTATGAAAGTGTAACGGCCTTATAATTTGTTTCCCTTACTTCCCTTTTGTCTGCATGCCTTGCTTTTGTTAATCATGTTTCTTCTTCTCTTTGATTTAATCTGTCCTGTCTCTGCTTGTGCCAAGCAATAATTTGTCTGGCAGATAATGAAGTCTTAAACAGAGAGCACTCTATCAAAATAATACTAATTGGAAAACCGGTCCATGTATGTAACTAAAACCCCAGTAATAGTCAGCTTGGGCTAACTTTGAAAGGAAAAACACCCTTTTGTGTGCACTCTTATCAAAAATCTTGGTTACACTTAGAAACATCAGCCCTCATAACTCTGCTGTAAGAGCCCTTTTTATGGGTGGCACATACTAACAGGAAAGGGGTTTTATTATTATAGGCAAATCTCTGTGCAAATTAACCCAACAAACACAGCTCAAAAGCAAGGTGCATGCACAAAAATTAAGGGTTTGGGGGTTGTTTTGTATGAGAACAAAAAAAAAAAAAAAAAAAAGAGAGAGAGACAGAGAAAAAAAATGCTGTTACAAGCTTGGACTCAAAGTTTCAAAATCCGAAAGCCACCTGGGAGGGAGCAAGAAGCTTTCCCTGAAAGGCCCAAGACCATAGGGCCTAATTTCCAATTTCTGCAGAATTTAGCCTTTTGTCTTTGAAAATAAAAGCACTGCAATACTTACCGCAGAAAAGATAACTTTCTCAAATGATAAATATAAGACAAAGTGACAAAATTCATCCCTCCAAAACTGCTGACAGATGCATGCTTACTATTCACAACTGACTGACAGCAAAGTTGAAAGGAAAGCAAACTCAGCTCAGGACTTCAAGTGGTTTCACTGTTGTTGCTCAGCATCCAGCAGGCAGTAACTGCTCTGCGTTTTGCTCTGCATGAACTGCCTTTCAGCACACTTGCCACTAGACACTTTATTAGAGCTTACATGACTATATAGCTGTTAGGCTAACAGGTTATCGGAATTGGAGTTTCATTAACTACTGGGGTGATTAGCTTTCCAAAGGTGCCCAGTTATACTAAGAAAATTCTCTTCTGCTCAAAACAAAGCAAAAGCAAGCACTTCCAAGGACAAAAGCACACAATAAAAAGATCACAGCAAAGCAAAATGCAACATTGCAGAAACTGAATTTATTGAAAGAAATCCAGAGCACATGACCGAATTCATTCATGTCCTTAGTGCACTATAGGATTCAGCGCTGATGAATACGGAGAAAAAACCCAAATAGAGTGGAAAGTTCTTATAAAGTAGTGAACACATCTGGATCTCTAGCACTGACTGATGTATGCAGGAGATTTGCTGTTCACTGTGCCTGTTCCCATACGTGCATGCCATTTTCCCTACTCCAATATTTTCCAAAAATTCTGCTGCTTCTCAAACCAATGGAGAACTATTTTGGAAAAGAATTTCAAAATGTATGGTGTTCAGGCTTTTGTTGGTAATAACTAAGGATTTGAACAGTGTGTTCCACTAGGTCCTGATCCTAAAAATCAGAAAAAAAAACAAGTAAACAAACAAACAAAAACCAACAACAAACACCAAAAAACCCTCAGTTAAATCAGAGACAAAATTAACTCTCTTGCAGTCGTTAAGTTATACAAACAAGTTGCCTGTAGACAAATACAAGGCGCTGTATAGCAAGGGGCTTAAACATGCTCACTCTGACTTCTGATCGGTCAGAAAAAACCATCAGCTTAAAGGCATTACTACCACCAATATGGAAATAGATGGGGGAGGAGAATGTGTGTCCATACCTCAGCAATTCCAGTCTGCAGTCTAATATTCTGGAATAAATCTATTTCCACTGGCAGCGTAAGCCAGCACACTAAGCTGGGAAGTGAGGCACAGCACACACTCAATTCTAAAGTCTCTGTGGAAGGGAGGGGGGCAATGGCACACAAGCAGGACAACTTGAAGCAAGAGCTTAAACCACTGTAGCAAAATTCACTGGGACTCATTTGTCACTGTCATCACTCTCCAACTGTGAAATAGCCTACCAAGCCTATAGTCTGTTTTCACTTCTTTTCCCTTACCACTCTTCCTAAAAAGTTACTAATGCAGCTTGTCAGATTTTCTCCAGCTTTATAGCAGTGGCTAAAGGCATTGTGCTGAGATAAAGTGAAAGGAGGAGGAAATACTCTTCAGTATAATACAAAACCTAAGTGGTGCTCTGCAGCTGTGTTTATTTTTTGTTGTGGTGGTGACTTTAAGTGGCTAAAGAACAAAATAAACACATTAGAGAAATCTAACACTATACAAAAAAAAGAAACAACATTCAGCAAAAATCCACATTAAAGCTAACTGAGCATAAAAATTATTTTAAGGAGTAGGCACTGAGGCATCGAGTCCTCTTAGCACTGAGCTAAGCAGCAAGACTGCTGGTAGCCTGACCTGAGAGACTTTAGCCCCCAACACAATCCCCAGTACAATACAATGTCTGTGATGCCCTTCCAAAGCCAATGACCTGCTATGGAAAGCATGCAACTGAGTGACATGCTTGTCTGCACACAGAGAGGTTTCACACTGGTTTCCTCTAAGCCTGTACCTACCATTCCAGTAACGATACTCACACAGGATTCCAATTCTCTAGCTCTGTGCAGCAGAAAACATCAATACTTGTGCTTAGTCACTCACCCACAAAGTGTAGGACCCCCTGCGACTCCCTGGAAAAGTCAGCATACTCTGATCGGAGACAGCAACAGATGCCAGGCCACTGCTCCTGGATGGTGGCCATTCAAAGTCAGCTTCAGTCTGCTCAGTTTTGCTTTTCTGCTTCTTTATAATCTGTAAGTTTGAGGAAAAAAAAATAATACTTGGAAAACACTGTCTGAGCCATATGGAGTGAACTATATTAATACTGTCTCAAGATAAACTGTCTTGGAAGAACATTTGAGTTTCCCTTTGCTTCTGCTGCAGTTCATGCAAGGATCATTCTGACAACCTGAAGGCATTTCTTCTCAACTCAAGTCACGCTGCTTGCAAATGCAGATTAATACAATAAATCATAATAAATACCTGTAGGAACATCAGAGCTGAATTAAATAAACATGGAAATCTACTCCTACTGATAACATTTTCAACATTTGCTGTATCTAAGAATTTTCTCTGATAAGTATGTTTGCAAAGAAACACATAATACTAGATATGAAGGGAATTTCAAAGGCTCCCACAGCATCTAGACATATCCCCACTGAAAGAGCTTTTTTCAAAATCTTTAGAAGCAACATGCTCTTCTCCTGGTGTCCAGACATTGTTAAATATGTTAAAACAGACATTGTAATAATTTGCTTAATTCACATGGAAGAGACAGATCAAGTAGAGTGATACCTTCTTCATCACTAGCACTCTGCAGCACTCTGCTCCTGCTCTTGTCTTGCCTTGCTCCAGACTGCCTAGACAAACTCAAGGGGTTTTCATTCTCAGCTGCCTTCTATTTCTGTGCTGCATCAGTGCCAACTGCCAGCTTTGCTGGGAGAACAAGGAACTTTCCAGGAAAGGCAATAAATAAAGGCCAATAAACACACAGAGTTTCAAATCTTTTGTGTGTCTCTCATTGCATCACTATCAAGAATTGTATTTCGATCATCAATGTTTTATTTGTATTTCTTGCAGACGCCTGGGTCAGTGGAGTTTGAACACTCAAGAGCCATGCTCCTTTGCACTAGAAACTTTCCACCCGTCAGGAGAGAAGTACAGACAGAAGCTTCTAATAAGCAGGAGCCTTCTCTTCCCGGTAACTGCCTCATGGACCCGATGGAAAGGCACCTCAGCTCTGAGGGTGGAGGCCATCAATTTAGGCATTGGATTAAGGTTATTTCTAGAATCATCTCTTTGTCAGATAGGTCTAGATTGCGATAGTTAAAGTTGCAGCCTATTTACTTTGTACTTCCTACATTCGTGTCACTGTTTTACTTGTTAGCTAACAAGAGTCAAAGTGCAGCATGCTACGGGCCTATGTTTTGGCCATTAAAACAAGCCATGGCAAAAATATAGAGCATACCTTCTGTACGATGGTTGTAGCCAGCTCTTCTATGAGGTCCTCCTTGTGTTCTTGCAAATAACAAGCTTCGTTCTGCTTGTCCTGCATGAAAATGGAGATCTATAGGTGCTAAAATCACATTAAAACAGCTTTTCTACAAAAGTGGTATAGGTAAGGAAAGAGGCAATATGTCCTGTTGGCAGGTAGGAAGAAATTACAGGTACTTGCATTGTCACTTTCTGAAACGCAACATGCATCTTGAACACAAGTTCAAAAAAGCCCGCATCATACCTGAAAAAATCACTTTTAGGTAATGTATGAAGATAATCATTACTTCTTTATATTTTCTTTTATACTTACTCGTCTTTCTAACACTACTCAAAATAGAAGAAAGAGATTTGCTCCACATAAGTTAAAAAATATTAAAAAAAAAAATGTTACCAGGCTGTCACTGTAGGTCTCTGCCTTAGAAATAGCTTCTTCCACTGCTTCCTCTGCAACACGTAAGGCCACAGCAAGGGTATCCATCATGCTGTGTCCTGGGTGAAGGATAAGATAAAATTTCTATTATATACTTACATTTTGCAACATAAGCTGCAACATTTAGATCCATACTTTGAGTAGCTCATTTACTTTGACATAAGCTGCCGCAGAGATTTATCCAAGACCCAGATCCAGGTTGTTCATGACAAAATTTAGTTCCTCAGCCCATAATTATGCAAAAGAATATAAACATCTTAACAAAGATAGGGTAATTTGTCTCAATTGTTGTTTTATGTCCAATTGAAAAAGATGAGTAACACTTCTGATATAAATGTTTTAAATTTAATTATTATAGAACTAAATGCGGGTCTGTGAACAATACCTATCAGCACTCTAGGCTATTTGTCTGATAATTTGAACTACAGGAATTGGGTTTTACTCAGATGAGTTTTTAGCAGTGTACCTTCTGTCTGTCTGTAGAATGTAGAGTCACTGCCACAAATGCTTCCTTCATTTTCTAAGCTTCCTTCAAAAAATTCTCCTTCTGTTCAAAAAAGACAGTACAGCACATTAGTATAAGAAGTACCTGTTAACAGCAGAGATATTATTAGATTATTCTCTCAAGATATGATGGCACTACACAAAAAAAGGGATAACAGGAAAATTCCCACTGGATTTTATATAAAACATGATCGCAGCAGCTTTTGTACAAGGTATGTTTGCCTTTATACAAAAGGCCTTGTATTCATTTTGGACAGAAAAAAATATTTGTACAGGAAAAAGAGAGAGGCAGAAGCTACTAAAATATGAAATGTACACAGTGAGCTTTAAGTACAGGGAATTTGCTTTTAATATGACATTTAGAATTGAAATTGATTGCATATTTAAAGGGCACTACTGTATAAGCAAGTCAAAATCCTGACATGTATACTAGTATTTATCTTCAAATGGAACAAAAGGTTTATCCAACAGTTACACAGAGGGTAGAAGGTCAGCAGTGACATTTAGACTCCTAGACCTTTCTTAGAAAAGTATCACAGACACTGCATGTGCTCTCTACTCCAACTTGTCATTGCATGGTTCACAATACCATTTTACATCCAAATTCAGTGTGACTAAGAATTAAAGACAACATGTAATAATACATTTCTAGAGGATCCACCCTCTTAGTTTTTAATTCCATTGTCCTACTTTTGTCTTCACTGAAATTAGTATTCATGCCTTTACATATATTTGTTCTAAACTTTTAAGACATCTTCTCTAGAAATATCGGTACAGAGAAAGGAAAGGACTAACAAATCAGCACATAGAGCTGAGGTCACCTCCTTTATCTACAAGCTTTGAGGCCAATATTCAAAAGAGACACTTGGAAGTTTTTGTAATCAGCACATAGAGCTGAGGTCACCTCTTTTATCTACAAGCACTTGGAAGTTTTTGCCCATAATTACACAATCCATTTATCACCCTAGATAACTTCAGAAAAAGACAAAGTTAAAGAGTATACAAAAAATATAGGCTCTCTACAGATTTCAAAAGAATTACCTTAGAAAAAGATCTGATCAATAAATCAAATAAAATTTTATGCTCCAAGACTGAGGTTATTGTACTTGGAGCAATCTAAATAACTAACATAAGACAAAATACTACTACTTTTAACTTCTTTTTGCATCACCAATTACTACTATTACTACTAGCTGTGTTTCTTTACTTAAAAAGGTGCCAGCAGTATTAAAACAATAACTGTTAACCATCTACAACATCAGCACAAAAATAGGAAGTGACAAGTTTTGGGATCCTTAAGAAAGGAAAGTTCTAAAAGAGGACAATACACGTTTTGATCAACTTAGACCTAAATAAGGTTTCCCACATTAACCAATTTTTGCTTCAAATGCCATGGAAATGCTTTGTCAGAGAGCAAATGTTGAATGCAAAATTCTTTTATTAACAACTATTCAGACCAGTGGTGAATTTGGGGATGCAGAACATAAAACCCCCTTCAATTTACTTATGGATTTAAGATCACAAGTCTGCAGTATCAGCGGCATAATTAAGATTAAGCACTATTTGAACTGTTAAAACAGTTCAAACTATCTAGTCACTTTAGCTCTTTTTCTCTCCACTTTGTTATTTTTGAAAAAATGTAATTTAAAAAAAAATCTCTTTTGAAATAATCTCAGAAATTTCATCATGTCATCTTCTGTGTTAAGGTAGATAAGATAATACGACATCAAAAAAGTATTTACCTACTATATCAGGACAAGCTCCACTTTCCAGTCTGTGCTTCCTGTATAAGTTCTTCAGGACTTTGGCACTTCCGAAACATTTAAAACGGCTCTTCACATTATTGTAGTACCAATCCAGAGATTGGGTCCTTAGGAGTCTAAAGAGAAAAATAAATGACATTTTGGAATAATTACGCAACAAATAAAACCAAATGATTTACTGCACTTTTACTCAAAAAAAGAAAAAAATAAAAGGTTGTCAAAACATTTAGGACTCAGGGCATAAATACATTAATTGCTGAATATTATTTAAAAATAGTTTTCCCTTGCATATTTCCAGTGTACTGGGGCAAAATGTGAAAGGTAGCTAATAAGAAAATATCTACTTTGCACTACGCAAAGTTTTGTTTTGTTTTTGCCACTATCAAAATAGTTGCTCTCCATTTTATGTTGTAATTGAAATTGAAATCCACTGTACCAATTGAAAATTATAAATAAGCCTTTGAAACAGCACATGAAAGGTTAAAAATAAGTTTTACATAGATTTATGGATTATATAGGATATATTAGCCCATTAACACTCTTTGGAAAGAAATTTTTCACAAAGTATTACCATTGCTTTTACCTGGGAAAAACAATAATCTAGGATAAAGTCTAAACGAAGACCTGTAATCACAAGGAACAGCTGGTAGACAACTTCTTTGCGGGGAAGTACCTGGAACTGCAGTTTGGTCCCTTACTGATTTCAATACCTAGCACCTCTGACATCAGTACTTCATCCTACTGAACATGTCTCCACAGCTCAGACCCTTCTAAGCAAGCCATGAGCTACTGTGAAGGTTTCTCTATTCTTTCCCACTTGACATATAGCTCTTGCTTCACCTCTGTTACTTTAGTAATCAGCAGGAGAGAATCCCTCCTGATTCCCAGATTTCCCAGGCATGAGGCACTACTGGGTAACCCACAGCAAACCCGTGTCTTTCCCATAGAAGGTATCACTTGAGAGGGGATCCTTCAACTGTAAGTTAAAGCCGACTTATCCAACACCTTCCAGGGAGTTCAAAGAAGGTTTGAATTAGTGAACATGAATTAATTCTGGGTGTCCTTTTTCCTGGTTGATCCCATTTGTTCCTCTGTATATTGCCTTTGTAGTTTATTTTTTATTAATGATGCATATGTAGTACAGTGACCAAGATATTTTTATGACACAAAAGAATATCATGCAAGAAAGCATTTAGTATAGGCTGAAAAGATAATTCCCCCTGCAATTATTATTAATCCAGTATCATAAACCCAGAATCCATGTGGAACTTGTCACATAATTATGCAGAGAGCTGATTCTTAACACAAAGATTTTTGAAAACAAGAGACTAAGATTACTATCCAGTGTCAATATATTAAGTTCTATAGTAAATGGACTAAAAGGAGTTTACCTCCAGACTCAAGTAATCCAGATGACTTGTTTTTCAAATTTGGGGGGATGAGTAGAGAAAAACAAAAAAAACCCTCCAAAATCAAAACACTCATAATCTCTAGAATTTTCTTCAGGGAGTCTCATTTTTTCTTTTAATGCGGAAAATGAATGAAAATCCACAATTTTCTCCAACATATATCATGTCATGAGGAAATAAAATCTTTTTTTTTTTTTTTTTTTTGAGAGAGAGAGAGAGAGAGACTAACAGCATAGCTTTTAGTCAGCACTGTGCTCTGGAGATGCTTGATAATAGCCAAATACACTGACCCTGAAATTTCAACTAATCCTTGCAAACAGGCTCAGGATTTTGGAGGATTCAGTATGCTCTTAAAAAGTAATATCCACTTCATGTAAAGCAAGAACATTACAGCCTAGTCTATTTCTCTATCAACACTGGAAAACGTCCAATAGCATATAGCAGCAGTGTGAAATTAAAAAAACAAAAACCAACGAAGCACATCATAGTCAAGCTGTGAATTCTTAAAGTTACATTAGTTGCTTTAGAAAGAAAGAGCACATAAGAAGCAGAAGAGTATTTTTTTCTGGAGACTTTATCAGCAATTAGATGCAGGAGAGATGTTGCCTCTGTACTATGTTTTTGCATAGTAATAGCCTAAGATTAAGCACAGACACACCAGGAAGTAGATTAGGACTAATGTTTACCATTTTACAGATACTACTTAAACCTGGCAAGGGCAAAAATGTGTGTGGTTTTTTTGTTGTTTTTGTTTGCTTGCTTTGCTGTTAATGGAAAATGTCCTTACAGAAGGTAGGGGTACAGCACTAATCTACTCACCGGATGAAGTGTGAATGACTAGCCACAATGCACAAACAATGGGAACCACAGGATGGTTGAGGTTGGAAGGCACCTCTGGAGTTAACCTAGTCCAGCTCCTCTCAGATCAAACAGGGTCACCAAGAGCAGGTTGCCCAGGACCCTGTCCAGATGGCTTTTGAATAACTTCAAGTGTGGGGACTCCACAACCTAGGCAACCTGGGTCCAGCGCTCAGTCAACCTCACAGAGAAAACTGTTTTTCTGTTTTCAGATGTCAGGTGGATCTTCTGTGTTTCAGTCTTTGCCCAAACTGAGGGTATGCCTCGGTCTGTCTCTGAAACTAAGGATTTCTAAATTTCTTTAATTATTGCTACCAAAAAAAAAAATCTGCTCAGATTCTGACCATCTGAACAAAGCTTCACAGCAAGGACACTGATGAATCTATGAATGAAGATAGTTTTCTCTCCAAACTTGTAGTTCTTCAGTGTTTTGAGATCCTACCTACTTTGTGGGCAGGGAGCTGGTTGCTGTCATGGAAAGTAGGTCAGAAAGGAACAAACAGCATATTTTTTCTTGTTGAATTTGGTTCCCTTTTGTCTATTCAGTCTCTGCAATGCCCAAATATAAGACTTCAGTCAACAGCATGGGGTCATGATCATTAGGATGGATAAAACACACTTTGCATGACTGGTTTGGAAGAGGCTAGCAGGAGGTACTGGGCAGGAACAATGCTGTTCTGCCCAAGGCACACAGTGTTCCTGCAACACTGTCCACAAAATAGTATTGCAGCACTGTTACCACTGGTGGAGTTGCAGAATATGAGCCCTCAGGGCTTTTAAGATCCCTATCAACTATTTCAACATGTTTACCAAGCAACCTCAGCTCTACTAGCTTGAAACACCAAATCTCCTCTCTTCTTGGAAGACAAGCAGACTCAGTTCTTTTTAATATTCAGGGCAAGCATCAAAGTATCAAAGGAAAAAAGTCAGCTAACACCTTGTACCAACTATTAAATTACAAATACCAGTTAAAGCGCTGATTTGGCAGCTATAAAAAAACAGAAGATGGTACCATTGCAAGCTTGGTTCCCCAAAATACAATGTTTTCCTTGGCTTCATTGCTTTTATGAGAAAACTAATAGCACGTTTCTCCTGAGGTGAGACAGTGCCTTACAATTAGCATGGTTTTAGAGACAGGCTTTGTATTTGTAATATTTTCTGCATGGGAACTTCGGGATAGTACAAAGGATAGATATTATACATCTTAAAGAAACAACAAAAGAAAAGATGCTGCTTCTGTGTGCTAGGGTGTAAAGATTAAGATTTTTTGACAACCTTTCTCAGTTCCACAGGATTAACAATTTGTGGGTAATCGAATCATCTCATGCTTTTATGTTTTGGAGAGCTACCAACAACTCCAAATCTATGTCTCTGTCCTGAATATATTTTATAGCAGATGGTCATAATCACCTTTGTAAAGCTTTGCAGCCTCTTATCTTTCAAAAAAGTCACAATGTTTCCCCTGATTCTTCCAGTGGAGAATTTGGAAAAAAAAAAAGAGAGAGAGAGAGAGAATAGCCCTCCATATAGATGCTAACGTGAAGGATCTACTCATGGTAGAAATAAGAGCATTTTCTCCTTATTTCTTTAATATTGACCTGCATTTTAAGGCTGTATTCCGCAAAGGCAGTTCCATAAGCCTAGAATAATGAAAGACTACGTAATTGCTACTCTTGCGTTATTAAACTGAAGCACTTGCCCTGTTACCTGAAAGGGAATGTGTGCAGATTCTCTCCATAAAATGATCATTCACAGTTAAAGGCTGCATGTTGTATGCATTTTTAAGAAGCAGAAATCACTGAAGCTATTTCTCTTTACTTCTGTGCCATAAAGACTGCTACTTCTCTATTTCTAAATAGTCTTAAATACTAAGGACATTATTTATGTTACATAACATTGACATGGAGTCAAGACACATTGCCGTTTGCTTTTTGGCGATTTTTCCTTTTCTAGAAAGTGTGAAAACTAAACAAATAGGTTTGATTTGCAAATAGGTTTGGTTTAAGAACACAAAACCTAAGTAAGTATTATAAAGTTTTAGTTCATTTTTAGTATATCACTCTGACTCTAACCAAGTAGCGCCATAAGAACAATGAATAAGTTCAATCAAAAACTAAGGCAGGAATAGAGCTTGCAGTTTTCATTATACTTCTCAATTGCAGTATCCAAATACTGAGTTCTCAGGTTTCTCCTCCAAATCAGCCAGATCTGCTGGACAGGCTTCAACAGAAATACCCATTATAAGTAATGATCACAGGAGGAACACACATGAATGACTCCATTCATACACACATTCAAGAATTCACTCCTCAGTACCCAGGAGGCTGTTTAGTGATTGATTTACCACTTCACTAATTTTATAACAACGACATTTTCCCACAAACTTTGAGAGAGATTTTCTCACCAAGTGATTCAGGAAAATACATCACGCAGAGAAAGCAGCTCAAAGAGTGAAGAGGTGCTTCTGAAGATCTGAATTCTACTTGTACTGTTCACATGTCAGAGTGAACCGAAAAAGTACTTTGGAGTTTCCTTGCTGTTGACCTGCACTGGAACCTAAAGACTTTTTTTCAGCTTTCCCCTCCTATTTCACCTTCTCTACCACAACTCTGTGTCAATACTTAGGCCTGTAAACTCTTTTAGTCCTTGAATATGTCCCCAAAAATCACTCCCACAAATTTCTGCTGCACATGAACAATTGTTTGTACAAACACATATGCCAAATAATTCATCTTCTGACCTCCTCTTCATAAACACTATATAAAACTTTCGATATGCACTTTATTTCACGCTGCTAAAGTCTCTAATGCTTGCTCAAGGCGGACAGGTTCCCTGGAGCCCTAGCTGAC